ATATTACCATCTAATAAAACATTTACTACCTCATTTTAAGTATATGCCTGTTCAGTTAAATAATCACCTAAAAATTAACCCTTTGCATTCTTCTACCCAAAGAATTAATTTGATGTAGGTCAATAATTTAAATGTCTTGCTGTAGCATTTAACCCTCAAAACAAATTCCGATAGTATAAAGCATCCTAGAACCTCACCTCAAGAATTCATCTACCTATCTGCTTCTCACCAAATATACAATGAATGCTACCAGACCTCAAGTATGTTCTCAACTATCAGGTTAAATAAAAACTCTTTCCTGAATCAGGAATCAAAATACTTTCTTTTTACTTGCTGACTGATCTTTAACAGTTCATTAAGATGTCATTTCTATTTAGAAGTACTGACTTTTATGGCCTGCCTATTCTTGAGGAGGCAACAATAAGAAAAGAAATCCAATATGCTAAGAATATTCTTCTATGACTTCTGAAAATAAATTCAGTACTGGAGGCACTGGTCCAAGGGAGAGAACAGTGAGTAGATTCTTTCTTCTTTAGCTTTCCAGTAATGACATTGGCAAATGCAGTTTTAAAAAACAGACAAAATATGAATAATACTAAAACACCCTGAGGAAATTTGTAAGTGATATTAGGAAACAAGTGTACAGATATTAAATAACATCCAGCTTTAAATGTGTTGAAATAAGACCTTTCTTATGTTCAAAGGTGGCCTTGTGTTCAGTCTTCACCTTCATTATCATAAGGCTTAATGCAAATTTATGATCTATTCTGACTCCCTTTCAAATGCAAATGCCTCCATTTGGGTTTAAATCATCCTTAATCTCGATTTTGCTGGCTCAGTGGAATGAATCTCCCAGGCTGATGAAGCCAAAGCAACTGTAGGGATGAAGAACATCAGCTATAAACTAGACCATGCTGTGCATATTGACTGTAATCTCACATCATGTCCACCGATTTATGACTAGGCTTGGTTACCCCAGTTCTACCACTCTTGAGGATAACTGTAGTCAACACATTAAAAATACCTATAGGGGAAGTATCACATATGCTTCCATACTAAACAATCTTTGCTTGGCATCTAAGTGTAAATGAAACTGTTAAAAGCCCTCATCAAACTGACACCATGTCCTCCAAACAGATGGTCCTGAATTCAGGCAGCCAGGATGTGATATTTGGACACAGTCTATGTTTTCAGAGCACATGGTTTTAAGCCAAGAATGTTTCAGTGGCTGAATGTCCCAAGTTCATTCCAGTCCTGCCAGGGTATATAGCATCCCCCATCAGAAAGGACTAAACATAAAATAGAGGATTGTTCAATACAGCAGAATCTGAGCTATAAGTCAAATTTTATCACAAAGGGTGGAAAAATGCTTTCAAGTTAAGGTCTTAATGAATTTCAGCTCTTAAGACCTTTTTTGAAACTGGCAAAATGCAAACTGTACCTATTCCACCCAGTTTTATTTAATTTTACTTAAGTATTTTCAGCACGCCTAAGTGAGCTGAGCCCACTGTACTGTTTCATTGTTGCTGCTTGTATTGGCTCCACATGTTATATGAGATGAGCAGAGCTCACAGCAGTAGCCAGATTACTGCAGCATGTCTCATGAAAATGGAAATTTGCATCAGGGTGACAAAACATGACTGCTAACTTGGTAATTCTGCAACACAGATCAGAAATATGATCGCTTAGTGGTTATACAATTAAAATTTCCAGTACTATATGCAGAAAGTCATTTGAATGTATGACAAGGTTAGATTTTAATGTTCTTTTTTTTTTTTACAGTCCCCACCCTTTAAGTTCCACAAGTTCATAAAGATGCTTTAGTAATTACAAATGGGAGTAACAGATCTGAGAAAGCTGTAAAAAATGAAAGCTCATTTACCCATATATTGTGTTTAATGATTCTTTCTATTTAGTGGATCTGACAAAATTTCTTACAAATTCATTGTATAAGTAAACCTGACCTGATGCCTTTCAAAGGTCCAAATATTCAGTTACACATCTCTGAGAATAAGACTCTACATTTATTTGACTGTAAGCCTTCTGCAGTCTTTACCACAAATAAATTGTTAATACTAATTCTAACACATACATAAAAATAACACACACCTAGAAGCTCTTGGCAAGTCACCAACTCTTGTACAATGTTTGTACAACTATTGTACAATGATAGAGCACAATGTGCTCTATCTTAAGTCAGATTCAAAGGAAAATACAGGAAAAACAATACTGTATTAAAAAATATTAAAAAAAAATATAAAGAAAGCATAAATCAGTTTTAGAAAATCTTACTGAAATGCTCCAACATCAATACTATCTTTTCATCATCTGAGGGATTATAAGTCATGTTGCTAATATGCTGCATTAACTGGATGATTTTATATATGGGTATGAGAAAAAAATCCTTGTTTTGAAGTGAAGTAATAACCAATAGGATTAAAATTATTCTGTAGTTAATTTTTGACATTACTTTTGATTTTGTAATGTGTTTGTATTTATTTGTTCTCATTCTGCCTGTCACAGTCCCTCAGAAACTAACTTTACCAAAAGATTTGGTGGTATGAAAAAATGTAACCTTTGTTAGAATGGAAGACAGAATCCACAGAAAAATGTAGAAGGCTTAAACTCAGTGATGAGACATTGGCACTACCAAAACTTGCTCTTAATGCTGCTCAGGAAAATCTCAAGACATTCTTCCTGTGATTTGTTATACATTGCACATTAGTCTCCAACACTGAATGATCACTTAATCTTGTCTTTCAGAAATGAAAAGTTATGCTCTTGAATAGAGTTTCTACATATGTTTCAGTGAACTCATTCAAGGAAAGTCTTATTGAATAGACTGAACTAGGATAACTTAAATTGGAAGTTATAAACACAGTGATCACAGCCAAGAGGTCTCTAAGCCAGTCAAAAACTGTAAGAATAATATTTATTAGTGTTGTGCTACAGAAGTGCTTATGTTGAATAATGAAATAAAATCCAATTGAAATATTCATCCTATGCAAATGCCTTCAGCTGCTGCTTCAGGTCAATACCAACAAAATTACTTCTCCTATATCTGAAAAATTTAAAGAACACAAAATTAGCTGACTACATTCTTTAGGATAGCACAAAGGTTATACAGCCATAAAAGACAAGCAACTCCTTTTTATACTTCTAGCCTTAGAACTATAAAATAGTACTGTATCCCAACAAAGTAAGGGTGCAAACATGATCTTGCAGAGTTTTCATATAACAGGCACTGCATTTCACAAAACTATCAGGAGTTATCAGACTTTCAGAAAATCAGTACTTTAGTCAGTAAGAATTTTAAAATCCATCATAGTAAAATTCCTGATAAGAAATCACTTCTTATCAGGTAACTGATGTATTTTCAAATGTTACATGATACATGAAACAAAAGTTCCATGATACAACTTTATTTTTTTTTAAATTCAGTATATTTGCTTGAAGTAGCAACTGATTTCATTGCTTGAGTCAAAGCCACCTTTGAAACTAGCCAATCAGTTTCACTGTTATAAGTACCTTGTCGAGTGAAAGTCGAATGAAATCACCAGTGAAAATTGGTGATTTATTCACACTAGGAAAATACAGAAGTTCAGTCCAAACTTTGGTTTGAGATAACTCTGTATGAGTCTCATCTTTCCCTCATGCTTAACATCTCCTCTCATTTTATACAACATAAATATTTTCCCAGATGTATAATATATATATAAGTAGGGAGAAAGAATGCATATATTTTTAAAATGCTTATTTTCCCTTAAATAATATTACCAGATTATTTCCTCTAACATTAAAGCACTAGAATCTTAAAACAGAAATAGTCCCTCAAGTTCATACGTGAGATAAATTTGAACATACTCTTCTTCATTACTATTATTTACTAATTAATATGATAATATTGAAGTAATTACTTTTCAAGCAAAATAAGGACCCCCTGAAGAAAATGCAGAGGAGAAAACCAAGCACAGTCTGTGAGCTAGTGAAGCAAGAGGCTTGCCAAGCAAATGTGCTTAATCTCCACTGCAGCAAAGCAGGAAGAGAGGCTGATGAATTCAAAAGATTGTGCCAGTGGCTCTGAGTTGTTTGAGGAGCAGGGCATACACTGAGGGTCACAGTGCACTGCTGTGTCTTTTCTTGCACGAAAGGTTAGATGAAATGCGTAGATTTACTCTAGAGAGGAAACACATAGAAGCTTATAACACAAACACAGTGAACCTTCAAATATGTAAAAGAATGCCTCAGCAAAGAAAATAGCAAACTAGCTTCCACATCCATGTCTAACAGAGAAGAAAACATGACTTTGTTTTTCATCAGCTAAGACCCTTAGTTCACTTTTCAAGGCACTGCCCACCCACATGAAACTTACTGAAGAGCCCCTTTGTTTTCCAGTGCAGCTCTTCAACTTATGAAAATCAGTCTAAGATCTGACACACTCCCTCAAAGGTTCCTCTTGCTAGATAAATGTCAGTGTAATACTTAACTGGGATAGACTACACTGATTTAAAACTTGTGATATCATAACCATAATAAACATTACAAATCACTCTCTGCTTGCAACTAGGCGCAGTTAGTCATACCACATAGCAGTGAATTGTTGTGTGGGGAAAAAAATATGTCTGGTTTGCATTTTTTTTATCTGCTGTGTTATTAAAATTAAGTATATCAGTAGATTTCCTATGTCACAGTTTTGTTTCCAAAAGTAACATCCAATATTTTGTTTACAACACAACTGTCTTACTGCAGTAAAAAAATATGTTTTCAGAAACCATTACTTACCAGTAAAATTGCAAGTCTAGATCCTAAAGACTTGAAAAGATAATAGATTTTGAATTCAGCACAAAGGCACATGGACCTTTTGGACATTACAGGATATCTTAAAGATAGTGTAAGGCTGAAAGAGTGAGCCACACTTGTTTTAATTCTCAGTTTATAGAGAATTTAATTTTTCAAAACAATCCATATATACTACAGTACTGTGTAAATAAATAAGTTACCTGCTTGGTCTTTAAATATTTTTGATATGACGACAGGCACTTTGTGCTCAGCACCACCCTGTAAAAGACATGTATTAACCATGAGATCTCAATTAAGACTGATGTGAATTAGCTGTACTGAAAAATTAAAAGAAGAAATGAGAAGGGATCCATACCTTTATGCTTAAGCCCAAGCCACCAACTGGTTGTCTATGAAGTGTAACAGTTCTGTGCTTTAAAAAATTGTAGAAAAAATAAATTTAGGTGAAAACACAATATCTGAATAAGCATAGAAGATGCTTTTAAACTTTCTTTTTTTACTTTTAAAAAATTCTTTCTCAGCGATAGCCTAGAATCTAAGTGATCCAGTTCTGAAGTCTCATTCAACACCAATTTATAGGCACTTATTTAATTCCTTACCATAGAGAGAAGAATTTGTGTGTGAATTCTGTATGCAGACTTTCAGTATGATTCTTTTTTTGTATGTCTTAAGCAATATTCTTCCTAAACAGAAACTTTTTACATGCTTTTGTTTTGAGATATGCATTTTCATAGTTATCATGTATGCATGATATTTAGTCTCATTTTTCAATCACAAATACCAACATTTTCTAATCCACATCTTCAGACCTTTACCATTTTTTCCAGTATATGCCAAAAGACTTTTAGTGAAAGTCTGCTTCAAATGTTTATTTTCTTGTGTTTCATATTTAAGTGCATAAAGAAGAAAACATTTATCAATATTTTTCTACAGCAACCTATCATATGTTTAACAGTATGCTGAATTTGACATTTCATTAGTATGTAACTCTTGGTGCCTGACAACGTAATAATAGCACTTCATTGGCTGACAGTAATTATAGAGTTGTGGGGAATTTTTTTCGCAACATGATGAACAGCACTGCAGAGAATGACATTTTTACAGAACTTCCTGAACATATAGGAGGTTATATTTAGATCAGATATTAGGAAAAGGTTAATTCCTGTGAATTAACCTTAGTGAGACACTGGTGCAGGTTGCCCAGAGAAGCTGTGGCTGCCCCATCCCTGGCAGTGTTCAAGGCCAGGTTGGACAAGACTTTGAGCAATGTGGTCTAGTGGAAGGTGTCTGTGCCTGGGAAAGTGAAATAGATAATCTTTAGGGTTCCCTTTCTACCCAAACCACACTGTGATTCTATGATTATTTATTTTTTCCTTTTCAGTAGATAAGAAAATATATGTGAGGTTACTCCTATATGTATATTTCCTGTTGGGTATTTTACAATTTCACTAATTCTACTAAATATAAATTATTATTTCAGTAGTCAAGCCCATAAATTTCAGATGATATTCAGCTCTACTGAAATCTGTGCTAATTCAGATTGTTTTGTAGGTTTTCTTCATTTTGAATCGCATCAAAACTTTTTATCTAAATTATCATACTCACTGACAAAGCTCTGATTCAATCTGAATTAGAATATGGGGCTGTTCATCTTGCAGAAGAGAAGGCTGCGTGGAGACCTCATAGCAGCTTTCCAGTATCTGAAGGGGGCTTATAAGGATGCTGTGGAGGGACTCTTCCTTAGGGACTGTAGTGATAGGACAAGGGGTAACGGGTTAAAACTTAAACAGGGGAAGTTTAGATTGGATATAAGGAATAAGTTCTTTACTGTATGGGTGGTGAGGCACTGGAATGGGTTGTCCAGGGAAGTTGTGAATGCTCCATCCCTGGCAGTGCTCAAGGCCAGGTTGGACAGGCCCTTGTGTGGTATGGTTTAGTGTGAAGTGTCCCTGCCCATGGCAGGGGGGTTGGAACTAGATGATCTTATGGTCCTTTCCAACCCTAACTATTCTATGATTCTATGATTCTATGACTCTACCTTTAAATTCAGTGACTCATTTCCAAGAAAAAAATTTCTATGACATAAATCCTGTCTGCTTGTTTAATTCATGTTTCTTTTCACATATGCTTATACCTTGTAAAAAAATTATCCCAATATATCCCATCACACAGGGGTGATGGAATAAATATTTTGATAGCTTAGATTGCTTTAGCATTATCAAACAACAAATACAAAACCATTACGTGGATAGCTTTAGCCATTTTATGAAAGACAAGCAAGGTATTATTTATTGGCATCTTACATATTCAACTGCCACTAACATGTATTTCATATGGTTGATAGGTACATTTCAAATTATAATACTGATGATATAATTGAGATTGTAGCCCTATGAAGCAATTTCTTTATATAACATTGTAATAATCATTTTTATGATTTCATAGTTCATAGCATTGCTTATTTCAGAGCTTCAATATTTCTATGAAAGACCCTTTGAAATAAGGTACTTATCACGTACCTCAACATTTCCTTTGTAACAGATTTTTTAACTAGAGCTACATTTGAAAAATGCAAAAAACTTTCCTTTAAAGATACGTAAAAGTAAAATGCCAAAAGCTGAGGATCATCAAGTGTCATAACTAAAATCATCTACACAAGCTGACAGAGACAGATTTTTTTTTTGTTATTGATTTTGAATTTCAACAAGTTGAACAGTGTACAATTCCAGGATATTAGAAGAAAATTAATACTGGGTCAATATTGAAAATATATAAATAGAGCCATAGATTTTCATTATATTACAATACTTTAAGGTCAGATGATCATAAATCTGGCAATGAACTACCTATTCCATTATGGATTAATGGTAAAACCAAGTCACAAGGATTTATAGAGAAATAATTTTAAAGAGGAAAAGTTTTATGGAAAAAACCTTTTCAATTTACATGAATACTTGTTATGAAATTTAAAATCTTGATAACAGAGTACCAGCCTTGTAATAACCCTAGCAAGGCATTGATCTGACACCCTAAAAAAGCTTGATCAAAAATGTAAAACAATTTAAAATAATATTGCGTAGTTTAAGCACATGTAAATTGGCTAACTAAAAAAAAAAACAACAAACAACTCAAAATGTAATTGAGATAAAGGAAATATTTAGTTGCTATGCTTCTTGAGGGATAATGACAGTACATAGATTACCTTTAAAAAAATTAAAACCAGTGGTCTGAAAAAAAAAATCTACATTAATTGCAATAAATTTTTAGGGACTATACTTGTAATAAGGGTAATGATGGACAGGCTCCAAGCATACAGAACTTTAAGGTCATCCTTGTAATTAAGAAAACAGCTGAAACAAATAGAGAAAAGCACTCTATCGACCTGCAGAATTTGGTTTTCCAAAAAAAACTAAACATGAGTCATGAAGACTGTGAGAAAAACCTCCATTCCCGCTGAAAGCCATGGCCAAAATCACTAGTATAATCCTGCAACATTGGGTGACTGTTAAGAAGGAACACAAAGACTATAAATTATTTCTGCACCTGGCAGTGATCCCCACTTTAAATAATGCAGGTAGTTCTGATACGCTTATTTTGAAAATGATGCAAAGAAATTGAAGAGGTAGCAGGCAAGAGCCACAGGAGCACCAAATACCTTGAGAGAGTTGTGTAGTAGTGAAAAAGATGCCAGGAGTTAAATATATTTACCTTTTTCAAAGCACTTTTCAGAGGTGGTTAAGCACAGTTTTAAAGCATCCTCCTTGGCAGAAGACAAGTAACTCTTACAGACAGATACAGTGAAAATTTCAGTGAGTTGAAGTGGAAAACAGACACACCCAGACAAGCTTTTGAACTTGACACACCACAGACTTTTTAAGAAACACTATTCTAGTAGTAACGTGGCTTTGAGACCTTACAGCTATTTCTTTCTTCATCCTTATTTAAAGCATAATCTGTCATACTATTTCATGAACACAACTTTAATTTAGTTCTAAACATAGTATTATTCAAATACTTAGGGCTTTTTTTGTCCTAGTAAGCAGTACAATATTTAGGTACATCTACATAATTAAATTAGTTTCCCAGCCTGCATATATATCCTCATTCTGCAGAGCAAGAATGCAGGCACACAAAGACCCAGGGACAACTATTCTGTCCTAGTGACGTGAAATGCCTTAATATTTTTTCTAAGTATTTGTATGAACTTTATTTGTTCAAAGTATCTTGTTGACCAGCTTCAGCCTTAGCTTTGAATGTTCAGCATTTTAACCCATTATAATTTCAGATTAGAAGGGATGCACCTAATACATAATGCCTGATTGACAGTGTTAATTTGGCATAATTCTAACTTTTTAATATTTGACTTTGCAACTTCATTTTAAAGGAGGAAATTAATTTTTTTTTTTTGCTAAAACCTACAAATTCACATGGCTCGCTATAGGCTAGTTTCCATTTAGTCCTTCATTTGGACCATTAAGTTGATAAAATAGATGCTCACTACTCAAAAAAAAAAAGGTAATTTAGAGAAGAAAATCTGTGGGTAATTGGGTAATTTAGAGATTTAGAGGAGATTCAACATTAATTACCTGCTGAATTAAATTTCAGGTTTTGTAGGAAAGTATGCTAAACAGTAATTATTCTCTTTTATCTGACCTCTGCACTCTGTCCCCTCTAACTTATCCTGTTATCCTATTCTTTTTTCAGGACCTATATTTAATTTTGTTCCTCTTGATCTCACAACTCAAAATTCAGGAAGATATTTTTCATTTCTTCAAACCAAAGAACAGACTGTTTGTCTTACAATTCATGTCTCACAAGCCATGCCTATGCTAAAATAAAGCAGTCTGGAGGATTTTCCCCAGCAAAGCAACACAGTAAAACTCCCAACCAACACTACCAAATTTTCTTTCCTTGAAAACATGATGACTAATACTGCCTAACTGGAACACTACATGACACATGTCATCACCTGATTTGGTCTGAGGCATTGTTTAAGAGAGCTGCAACTCATATTGTCCAAAACTGAGACACAGAGCACACCAACACCCGTTATAGGCAATTTGGCACAAGCCAAAATGCAGCCAGAGACTGCTCTCACATAGACAACTGTGGGCCAATGTTGAACGTGTGCTACAGCATGTGTTTTATTTTCTAGAAGAGATAAAGTCACATAGACCTGTGTATGATAGTATGCAGTCCATAAACAGAAAGGAAAAGGACACTAATATACATTAACTACAAACACAGATGTAAATTAAAAATTTCTAATTATCCCTACAAGTACTGGTGGCATTGGCAGTCATGTACAATAAAAGCATAAATGTAAAATAATATACATCTTAGTAGTAGATTTTATTTAAATTCAGATAGAAAAGCATGTAACATTCTGACAGCTGTTCCATAGTGAGACAA